CGGCATCTACAATCACGTGTTTTTTGAATTAAGAATATACTCTTGTATTCTACGAATCTGTTCAAATTTCTAGAAGATAGTACATAATAATTATATTGTCCAGTCGCAAAAAAGGACCTTCGAACAAACTTAGGAAAACGGTGAGATAAAGAAACATTTTTGACACTTTGATTATGTAATTTTATAGATCCATAGTGTGTATATTTTGTATAAAAAAATTAGAACCAAAATATGAGTAGAACAAGAGAAATGTGAATTTCAATCTTGTGCAAAAACTTTTCGATCACCCGTTAGTTCACTTTAAACATATTTATTACACTGATTGGTGTAATTTACATACACACAGCACTGCATGAGGGTGAGGGCGCTGTGATTAATATGTTTAAAGTGAACTAGTACCCAATAAAATTTCACTTTTTATTGCTGAAAACAATATAATTATTATGTACTATCTTCTAGAAATTTGAACAGATTCGTAGAATACAAGAGTATATTCTTAATTCAAAAAACACGTGATTGTAGATGCCGATTGGAATATGTTCAATGAAGAATGTTTTCTAAACATATTGACTATAATATGTCTGTAGTCAATGTAATAAGATGATTAATAAATTTAAAGCGATGGGGTTGACATTTTAGGTGGTATAGTAATAATGGAACTCACAGGTACGCGATGCTAATTCTCACAGTCTCTCTTCTGATTAATTCTTTCCTCATTGTCCACTCGTAGTCATTGGAGAAACTTTACATGAGGGTGTGGGTAAAGATTTCCGTTCAGAAAAGATGAGCCCACATCGAAAACTTGAACAACACCCACGCCCGCCTCAACATGGTGCTGGATATTTTCTTTGGCAGAAAAAAAGGTTGCGAATTATTACCTCAAGATATTTTTGAGTACATTATGAAGAACTATCTTATCAAAAGTCAGAATCGTCCGATGAAACATTGGTTCTCGAACTATCGGACACATAATTGAATGCTGAGCAAAATGGCGCATGTGTTTCCTTAGACAATTGAAAAGTTTGGGCTACTTTGAATCGATAAAAAGCAGTAGCTCATATTTGTTTAGAAATAGCTCTTTTCGGTATTTCGACATTTTCTATATCGAATTTTTTTCTCCCAAGTATCTGTTCTAATACTTTGTAAGTCACGCTGAAAGGTGCATAATTTTGTGTAGAATATTATAGCATATTTCTTTTTTCAGCAGATCTGTTGTGAGAAAATCCCGATGGTTCTTTTCCTTTTTTTTTAGTTTCGCACTTGTACAATGGAGATCTTCATCTCACTATTTTTTGCGTGAACCCAAAATTCTATTCGAAAAACAAAGCCAATAGCTTTATATTAAACTAAATTCTCCATTTACTAGCATAAAAACCAAAATTTGAAATAATGGTTCCTCTGACAGAAAATTTTCTAAAACAACGGTCCATTGACTTTCGTAGCCAGGAAAATTTTCCCGAACAATTTTGCCCCTCGTATGGATTTTTCATTTTGGCGGCAAATCCTGCACACTTTTATGTCAGTATGGATTTGTTCCAGCTCAGGTCCTGCGAGATAACCACTAATAGCTACTCATTAAAATGCCGCCCAAAAGTGAGACTAGGCCTAAAAGAAATTCCTTGAAATCTACTCGACAACGGTACACAGCAAATACTCTGACTCAGACAAGAGTAGAGGCAAAGCTAGGAAGCCAAATATGTTTGAAATTATTTTTAGCAAATAATCTATATAGGATGGGGGTATGGGTGTGGATCATATTGTCACACCAAAAGTCATACCCACATCCACGTTCTTGTCTATGGTCAAGTCTAATCTGAAATTTTCAGAACTATAGCTACTATAGATATGAAGATTCATGTCATTCTATATCTCAAGACCGACAGCTTTGCGACTTTATTAAGGTAGGGTAGACTAAACTGTTCTTTATGACATGACTCGATCATCTTCAGAACTATCAATTGAACTAAAAGCATCATCCTGATTTCATGAAACTGAAGCAAGAATGATGTGAATCTTCATTTCTAGAGTAGCTTTAGTTTTGAAACTTTCAGCATGGACTTAGTCATAGGTAAGCATTCTGCGGCACACTGTTCGAGTCAAAAGATTGAGCCTAGACGCGAGATTCTGGTCAAGTACTGGTAAGGTTGTGATATATTGGTTCCATGGATAGATGCAAATTTTACTGTAGAAAGAGAAGAGCTGGGCTTTTCAACAATGGATCCAATGACATTATATCTTCTTCTGAACTCGAGATAACACAATAGGAAAATTCTTTGATTTTGACCTTATATCTCGGCCTGGATAATAGGTTAGAACTCAAGCTTTTGCCTACGATGAGACTTCATTAAGTTCTTCATATGGTAGATATTTCGTGGTAAACAATTCTTATATCGATGAATTTTCCCTAGCTGTGGCACTTTTCTTCACAACTGTGTATATGTATATATATGTTGGGGACAAAATTGGAATTTGGTCAAATTCCGAATTTGTCCGAACAGAATTGGAATTCCAATTTCGACCGGACAAAAGTAGAATCCTAGTGTTGACCAGAGTTTCTTCGGACAAAATTGGAATTCCAATTTTGTCCGGACGAAATTAGAACTGGACAAGAAATAAATTCATACAGTCACGCGCTATACAAACAGTAGAACAGAGCGAGAAAAACTGTTAAGAACGATAGATGCCTATTGTATTAGAATAAAAAATGGAACAATAGGCGAGAGTACAATGTTCTAGTCATAGCTGGTTGTGTCCAGTGACAGTATAAATAGAGATTGCCGCGTGATAGCATCGTCAGAAAATGACAGCATCGAGTGCAACAACCATACAAGCCAATAACGCCGAGACCTTATTTTATGAAGAAGTGGATAAACATATTAATTCATTAAGTGTCAAATTTCGGCAAAAATGTGTCATCAAACAAAATGTCTATGACGATATTATTAAATGCTTAACATTACCGAAAGGTAAACCATCCGGCTTATATTCTTCAAAATTTATTTATTGGGTAAAACAAAATTTCATTTTGATGAAACTTTCTGGTATTGATATTGGTTGTTGTATTAAATCGAAAAAGCCAATTTGTATTTATGAAGCTTATTATAATGTAATAAGCGAAGGACATGCTGCTGTTTCACATGAAGGTCGTCATAAAACAGCTTTCGAACTTAATGCTCACTATTCATGGATACCACGATTTTGTATCGAAATATTTTTAAAACAATGTATACCGTGTCAGACAAGAAAGCCGATCAAACAACATGTTATCTCAAAACCAATAATATCACTGGGAGTGATGACGAGGCTTCAAATTGATCTTATTGACATGAGAACCAGGCCAGATACAATTGCTCCAGATATCATTTATAATTGGATATTAAACTGTATTGACCATTACAGTAAATTTTCTTGGGCATTTCCCTTGAAAAATAAATCTGCTAATGATGTGGCAGTAAAATTACGTGAATTATTTTTTTGTCTTCGGGCCACCACGATTGCTTCACAGTGACAACGGACGTGAGTTTGTGGCCAATGTGATATTTGAATTAAAAAATCTGTTTCCAGACTTGATTTTTGTCAGAAGTCGACCACGTCATCCACAAAGCCAAGGATGTATTGAAAGGGCCAATGGAGTTTTATGTGATGCACTTGGTAAATGGATGGCAACGAATAATTCTTCACATTGGTCAGAAGGTTTATTGCCGGTGGTGTATGGTATTAATACAAGAGTATCAAGTATTACCAAAACAGCTCCATATCAAGTAATGTTCGGACAACCACCTCGTTCAGATTCAGAATTTTGGAAACTTGTTGAACAAAATGGAATTGCTGATGAAGAAGATTTACCAACACTAGTTGCTGAATCAGATGGCGAAACAATGTACAATAAACAATTTGATTCGATTAATTCTACTGATGTTCTCGACAGTGATGTGGTTCACATTGTTCAAAAATTATCTGATGATGTTGTTTCGAATTCATTAATTGATATTTCATCACCACAACCATCATCAGCAAGACATGATCTTATACGTAAAATCGCGACAGATAATTATTTAACTACTGCAAACAAACGAATGAAACAATAGCAAGATAGTGTTACTACTTTAACAGAAAAATTCAATGTAAATGATTGTGTTGGAGTTCCAATTCATCCGGTTGATAGAACAAATACCGATGCTAAATACTTACCATGCTTAATTGTCGAAAAAATTAAAAAAGACAAAAATATTATGTATAAATTGGTTTGTCAATATGGTAAATTGGACAACACTTTTGCAATCGAGCATTTGGTTGATTTGAAATCGGCATGTCCACAAGAGTTAAAACAACTTACTATCGATGATTTACAAGATATTACAATGATTGAAGCGTGTAAACTTTATGTCCGTGGATCGATAAGTGGCAGTACCTGCGACTGCAAAGGAAAATGTGCTACGAAACAATGTCCGTGTAAAAAAGCGGGAGTTTCGTGTTCAACAAAATGTCATTCTAAACTAGGAGCTTGTAAAAATATGGGTGAATAGATTAGTGTGCCATGAACTGTTCATTATTTTATTCAATAAAAGATATTGTGAAATGAAAAAATAGTTGTTCTGTCCAGATGCTAACTGTTTCCAACTTGATCAATATTTCTAGTCCAGTTCTAATTATGTCCGAAGAAACTCTGGTCAACACTAGAATTCTACTTTTGTTCGGTCGAAATTGGAATTCCAATTCTGTTCGGACAAATTCGGAATTTGACCAAATTCCAATTTTGTCCCCAACATATACGTATTTAAACCAGCTAAACAAACATGATCTGACAGTATTATCTCACACGTAAGAAGATATTCATTTAAGAGTATTAATAACAAAATTTTAATTAGAAAAAACGAGAGCATGTATACAATGAAAGCGGAGAGAGAAGAGAGGAGAAAGAGTCGATTAATTTTGTCTCCCATCTTCAATTGCGGTGTAAGTAATAACCGAAAAAATCATGACATATCTGTTGGAGTGTTTCAAATACCCACTAACATATTTATGCTGAATAAAGAAATAGGTCAAAATATGAGAAAGATAAATAGTAAATAGGAAAGAAAGAAAGATGGACAAAAAAAGCCAAGAAACAAAAAGGAAATTGCTATCACTATATCTCAGTAGCGAACAAATACAGGATTCATTTTCTTAAATATAATAATTAAATATTATTCGTGATATCTAGAGATGATCGTAGTCAATATGAGCCATTACTTGGATAGTCTTGCGTATTCGCGTTATCGGTCAGTAATCACTATTAGTTACTATATTGGTATTTAACCACCAGAATCATTAACAAAAGTTTCTTGTAAATATCCAACAAACTGGAAATATAATCATTTATTCATTCTTTTCAAGTCTTAGTCGCATTTCTTAAATAAGTGGCATTATCGATGTTAGTGCATATGCATCGGTCGTAGGGTGATAATAATGGTCGCTCTTATTCGTTTAGTTTATTTGTTCTAAGTATGTACGAGCAGGTTTGACATGGTTATTTATTTTTTATTTTATCTCTTATCATTGGATTGTGATACTGATGTTATTTAGAATCCATCAGGTCGTGGTAAGAGTACTCGCTTATATTCATTTAGTCTTACTTGTGGCGATAGTCTATATTTTGATTGATTAGGTCAAATGATGTCTGATAGTCTAACTGGAAAAACAGCATTTGATTAAATAAAACTTTGATAATAATCTGAGCAATAAATCGAAATATAAATTTTCTTCATTAATAAAAAAATCATTATTATTTGTTGCACACTGAATTTTCTCATTTTGTACTATTTAGAGACCTATATGTGACGTTCTATGCTATACCAAACACGGCGAATACACGAAGGGAATATAATTTAGTTATTAGCTCGCATACTTCTTTCTGAAAACTTGATGTTATTTTCTTTTGTGAAACACGATTGCTAATGAGCGTAGATATATAGCGAGAAAATTGGATCCCTTTTAAAACTGTGCTAGACATGCCAATAACCACCAGATTATAAGATAAGGTGTGTTTAAGTCTTTTCCACCTTACATATGACACAGAAAATCTGTGAAACGTTATGCTGAAATTTATGATCTCATTTCGATAGTTGAAAAAACATTACGGCACGACTTTCCAAACAACCGTAAAGCCGGCAAACAAACAGGAGATTCCACTGTGACCAAGTTATATCTAGCCGATACTCATGATACTCTACAAATGTGTTTTTCTTTCTCTTTCTTTTCCCGATACACGTTCATTAACGCTTTCCAGCCAGACAAGTAACAAAAAAGTGACGTTTTTCCGCGTAAAAATGTTGTTTTTTTTTCAACACATATCTGACTAGGTTGTCTCTCTTACTATTCATGTTGGTTCTTTTCTTGACAGTGGCACGATGACAGTTGCTAACATAACTCAATGAGAACGTCTAACTCATGAAGATAATCTGAGTGTCTCTGTATGTCAGGTACTTGTTTCGTCAAAAGATTATGCTGATTAGTGCGGTACAGTTTTGTGATACATACTGCTGCTTAACGCGCTATTGATACCTTTCTTGATTTCGGCTAATATTCGATTATGTAGTCATACAAATTGTTCTAATTTACTTACATAATAAGAAAAATCAAGAATCGTAGTTATAGATATGTGTACGTATGCGTAGCATCAATAAGGGATCTCAAATAGTCTTCTGATGTTGTCAACACAGATACGATCGCACATAGTGTTACGAAATTCATCGCTACACGACTGCTCTATTCGTGAGTTCGGTTATTCACTGCCAACTAGTAAAAACACGTGTGACGAAATCAGGATTGAATGACGTATTTCATACACAGTTTCATCTCCTTGCCACATAGTACTAATGAGATTAAATCTCTCTTTCTCTTGTATTGCATATAACGTTCTGCTACAACAATAGTACTTAGAAGCAAATAATGCATACATGAGTATTCAACCACTTTATGAAAAAGTTCTTTCTTTTCTTAGACATTTTTTGTGCTCATTAGATGAGAAATGGTCAGAAAACAGCTTTGAACAAAAAAACGGTCCACTTCACCTTGAATGTTGGATATTCATGCTATTTTCTTAGAAAAATCTACGTGGGGATCATTTTCGCAATGATGACCCGTTGAGTTCATATTTTGCATTTTAGCAAGGAAGCATCAAAATAGCACAATCTTCAAAGTATTCTTTTTTTCATTGATATTTGAGTAAGATATAAATTTTCAAGCTATAGGCTTACAAGCTCAAAAGATCATAATAGCAAGAATGATAATACGTAGATTTTTCTAAAACACAACATGAATATCCAACATTCAACATGCAAGTGGACAGTTTTTTTCGTTTACAGCTGTTTTGACCATTTCTCATCTAATGAGCACAAAACAAGTTTAATAAAAGAAAGAACTTTTTCATAAAGTGATTGAATACTAATGGATGCACTATTTCCTCCTAAGTAAGGCGCCGATAAATCGAAATTCGAGCAAAATGTTTTTTTGCCGAATTTTTGGCATGGTTGGATAGAGCTCGTCGAGTTACCCATAAAAATATTGTTTTTAACATTTTCAGATCGGTTTTTCTATGAAAAAATTCGAACATACTATTATTCTCAAAATAGCCTTAAAGTGATTTATCTCTTTTTAAGCTATCGTTAGTATATTGCCATTTTTTATATTTAATCTTGATTTTATGTTTCCCAAATATTTTAATTGATATTTCCGATAAGGCTCGATATAAAAAAGAAACTTTCAATCGATTTCAAAGATAAAATGATTTCACAGTCGGGTCTACCATGACTAGCACTACATATAGATATATAGCCGTCAGAGGGGGTACCTTCCAAAGAGATCAACTCACCATAGGCACATGTTATACTGATTCTTTTTCCATAGTTATAACCACCATATATACAAAAAACAACACGGATGGGTTTTGGACAAGCTCTTTCTGTCGTTGAGAAAATTGAATTTTTTTTGATATCGGTACCAAAACCATACAAAATGATTAAATTCGTGTCTGTATTTAGCAGGTTTTATCATCATAGCTCAATTTGAGAGCAAAATAAATAGCATATTGGAAATCAGTGCAAAAACTACATCGGATTACATATATTTTAGCAAAATATATTTTTTATGAAAAAATGGCCTAGGAGTCCACGGCTGAATTTTTCGTAAAAAAATGCTGAGGGGGAGTACAGGCGAGTTTTTCGTAAAAAATATATTTTGCTA